TCATATAGTATTAAAATATAAACTCCATTCTTAAAAGATTCATTGTTTGCTCACTTGATAGCATTTAAAGTTTATATTGGTCTACATGTAAAGGGCATATATATTAAACCACATAACAAAACCAGGCATTTATGCTAAACTTGCATGTGATGGGACATAATTGAATGAAAAATTCCATATTAAATATACAACAAAAAAATTTATGAGTTAAATACAAAAAAAAAAAAAAAAAAAAACTACTTCCCAACTATTTCAAATTAGATGCAACCTTTGTCCTGAAATTCACATATTAATTTTAATATTTTGGATAAGTGATTACGTGAACAAAGGCTTGGGGTAAGAATTTTTTAAAAAAAAATTCAAAGAAATGGCTATGCATTTGATATGCTGAACAGAATCCCTTCTTATATTTTTTTGGTGAAAGAATCCCTTCTTATATTTAGTTTCGTTGAATGTTCGTTGACTTGTTGACTGTTCGTTGATCTAATGCTCACCACTCTGGAGCGCACATTTTTCATTAAATTATTATAAAGGTTAAATATCATTTTAGTCCCTAAACTTTAAGTTTAAATATTTTCCATTTTTGAACTATTTTTTACACTTGTCCTTGAATTATAAAAAATGTATATTTTTACTTATTTCATCAGTTAATCTATTAAATATATGTAAATATGCACATTTTTTGTCTTTGGAACTAAAAATGTGCATGAATGGACTAATTAATAAAAAGATAAAAAAAAATACATTTTCATAGTTTAAGGATGAAAAAGTATGAAAAATAATTTAGATACTAAAAATATTCAAAATTAAAAGTTTCAGATGCCAAAAATGATATTTAATCTCTTTTTCTTTTTTCATACTAAAAATTGATTTTAAACAAACGCAAAAATAGGAAAGGAGATTATATAGTTTTAATTTTATTTTAATAGTTAATTAAATTATGACCCCTAAATGATCTAAATTTGAAATGTTCTCATTGAATTAAAAATATTAATTAATTGTAAAATTGATATCTCAACCTTTAAATTTATTTAAGGAAAAAAAAAAGACTTTATTTTTGTTCTTAATAGCTTTTCTTTGTGATTGTTAATTTATAAAAATATATATATGTATTTATAGTTAGGGACAAAGCCAAAAAATAATCTTAGGAGGCCGAAGTACTATTTGAAATGTATACGTAAAAAATAAATTTCTTAACTTGTAAATAATATATATTTGAAATGTATACGTACTAATTTTTATTTTGATTAATATCTTTCATAATTAATGACCCGTAAAACGTCCAAAACTATGATGGGAGATCACGCGCGGGTCACGTGCCTGTTAAAAACCGCTAACGACAGATGCATCCATAATTCCATATCATTGTCACTTTGTCAGGTGCTACGTACTGTATCAACTAATGGTTTTAAGGTGC